ACCAGCTTTCCTAAGCAGATCTCCTGCCAGTCACCTCGAGGCACACACTGTACCCTTACCAGCCCCATCTCCACTGTCCACACATTTTTTTTATTTTAGAGAGAGAAGAGAGAAATCGTGTGAGTGGGAGGAGGGGCAGAGGGAGAGAGAGAATCTTAAGCTGGCTCCACGTCTAGCGTGGAGCCCGATGCAGGGCCCGAGCTCACAACCCTGAGCTCATGACCTGAACCAAAATCAAGAGTCGGACGCGCAACCGACTGAGCCACCCAGGCGCCCCCCAACATGGCCCATGTTAACCCACGCCAGCCACCTGCAGTCTGCGAATGTGCACCCCTCGTCCCCAGCATGTGCCCCGCCCTGTTCTAATGAGCCAACCAAACACCAGCCCCGCCTCCTCCGTGAAGTAGCCTTGGCCACCGAGGACGGCCGGGAGCACCAGGTGCTTCTTTCGGTCCCTATCACTTGACCCCATATCACTCCCTCTTACGCTGGCTCCTTGGCGGGCGGTGTATCCCTTGGGCTGAGGACAGTGCACACCTAGTGAGTAATGACCGGTGTCGGCTGGCAGCCCTATATGAGCGCACTGGAGCCCGGGCGCAGGGGACGGAGCCCGCCACGGAGGGGAGCCTCTGACAAAACCATGCTACTGTTTACCTTGGTCGCTTCTACAAATACGGGGTGCTGCGTGCAGATACTAATACCTCGTTCGTAGAAAAGGCAGATTGCTCACCACAGAGGTCTGGCTACCAGGATGGAGGCCTGAGCGCAGGGCCCTCCTGAAGGGAGAGCTGCCAGATCCTCCTCCCATGGTGCCCGAGAAGTACCCACGGTCACACTCCGCCCCAGCTGTCCCCGGCTCCGTACGGCCACTTCCACAGCGCAAACTGCCACGCTTCGTCCTGCGTGTGCCAAGCATTCACAACTACTGATTATACTGATACAAAGTCGGATGCTTAGGTGGCTTGGGCTACTTGGTATTTTATACAGAAGCCAGATAAAGATCCAAGACCACAGTGATAGTAACTAATACGAATTGAGCACTTAGTACTGGCCAGAATTTTTTTCAGTTTTACATCTAGTGACTCCTACACTCTTTGAAACCACCCCAGGAGTTATGATCCGTGTCTGCTTCACACATTAGGAAACGGAGGCACAGAGAGGTTAAGTAACTTGCCCAAGATTACACAGTGGTTAAGTGGCAGAACCAGAATTTGAGCCCAGGCCGTCTTGCTGGAGGATCCCAGCCCCTAGCCACGAGCCTCGGCTACCCTGTGTCAAATGGAGAGACCGGGACATCATCTTTTCTAAACGTTCAGCTCCCTGTTGTGGGCGAGGATACTCTAAAGTGAGATGCAACGCTTTGCACGTAGTGAGAATTAAATTATTTGCTGATTAGATCTCTCTATCTGGGTAAGAAAAACCAGCCAGATCGCAAAGCTAGAGGGAGCGTAGAGAAGTGGCTTAGGGATATGTATTTTTATAATGTCCGGTACAAAAGGAGTCGATTAACAAAAAACCGGGGCTGAAGGGCCACGTGACTTAGAACACATACGTCTGAGGCAGCCAGTGTCGGGGCTGAGGGCATCTCCCCAGTGCGGGGCCTCACGGAATCACGATGCCGCCTCACTGCTCAGCTCGTCTCTGCTCGGGAGGAGCAGTCCTCGTAGGAAAATCCACTCAGAAATGGAAGCTCTCTCATTTTTAACTCCCTCAGCTGACTTTTAAAAATTTCAGGGACACCTGGGTGGCTCAGTTGGTGAAGCGTCTGCCTTCGGCTCGGGTCATGATCCCGGGGTCCTGGGATCGAGCCCCACGTCGGGCTCCCTGCTCGGCGGGAAGCCTGCTTCTCCCTCTCCCTCTGCCTGCCTGCCACTCCCCCTGCTTGTGCTCTCTGTCTGTCAAATAAATAAAATCTTAAAAATAAATCAAAAAATAGAAACTTCAAACTTACAGAATAACCCATATAGACTTCACTAGATTCACCGATTTTGGTATATTTGCTCTACCTACCTACCTATCATCTATTGATCAATTGACCGATTGTTGTGTGGAGACATCGTGTTTTCCCCGAAATTCTTCAGAATGCATTTTCTGAGAAGGATGGCCTCTTCACATCACACACTCAATGGTCATCATGCTTGGGGAGCTGGACATTGAGGCTACCCAGCATCAGATGCTACATTCAGGTCTCCCCAACTGCCCAAGAACATCTTTCACAGGTGGCTTTTCTTTTTTTTTTCCTGCTTGGGGTTCAGGCAAGGTTTCTACATTGCTTTTGTTGTTAATAATAAAATCTGACACTTTCAGAAACAAAACTTTTAAAAAATTTTTTTAAATTTTGGATAGATCAGAGAAAGACAATTATATGATTTTATTCATACATGGAATCTAAGAAACAAAACAGATGAACATAGGGGACGGGAAAGGAAAATAAAATAAGATGAAACCGAGAGGGAGACAAACCATGAGCGACTCTCAACTCTAGAAGACAAACTGAGGGTTGCTGGATGGGAGATGGGTGGGGGGATGGGATAACTGGGGGATTGGCATTAAGGAGGGCACATGATGTGATGAGCACTGGGTATTATATGCAACTGATAAATCACTGAACTCTATCTCTGAAACTAATAAAAAAAATATAATTTTGGTTAGAAATCTGCTCTCAAAAGAATTGTTTCCAGCCTTCATAGAAGGAATATACTGAACACCCTGGGAATTCTTCTGAAGATTCAATGAGCATTGTGAATATGAATCCCAGCCCTGTGCTACATGTACTAATATGAGAAACGGCTTTAGGTGGCCTCAGGTCTACTTTTATAGGTTTTCACTCTTGCTGTAACCGGTCCATTTTTTCTGCAAACAACCTGCTTTTGTTCATGCTTGCCAGTACCTCTGGTGTGCAGAGGCCCAGAGAAGCATTTGGGCATTTGAGAATTGCAAGCGGGCACTCAAGGGGTGGGAGGTAGGTGAGGGGGGCGTGTTAGCTGTTAGCGGTCAGTCTGGGGCTCTTGGGGATCGAGCAAAGAATGAACGCTGAATGCTGAAAAGATGGTGGTGGAGAACCCCAGGAGAGCATTCCAAGTAGAGCGAATCTGTGCAAAAGACCTCGAGGACATGTTTGAGGGACAGAAGGCTGAAGGGAGGTGGGAGTCCCACAGCTGGGTGGGGTATGAGCGGGGTAAAGGTGAGATGATCAAGAGAGGTGTGGGAGGCTGGGGTGCAGACCTACTGTTAAGTGCCGCTGGGAAGTCACTGCAGAAGGTTAGGGAGGGCGGACCCATGAGCCCTAGCAGCACAACATGCTCAGCATGCCCCCTCTGCACCTGCTCAACCTTCCACCCTACAGCAGGGCCCCTTCAATGGGTCCTTACTTATTACCAATTCATACAAGTACACCTGGCTGTTGAATAAATTCCTGCTCATGGGCCTGCCTGGCCCAAGGCTCTATGCATTTAGAATTCCCATATTAACAAATGGCCCAGATGGGGGCTATACCAAATTATTCTCCCACCAGGAAAAGATGAGAAAGATGAGACAGCTTGTTTTCTATAGTCTCTTCAAAATAATGCTATTAAGCTTAAAAAAAAAAACAAAAAAAACTTTGCTAATGTAACAGGTAAAGATAATTGCACTCCAATTTTGCCTTTTCTCTCATGAAGGTATAGTTGAATAGCCTTGCTTATGCTTAAGAACCATTGTGTTTTCCTGACCGGGACTGTCCATTTTCCTATGGGGTTCTTTATCTTTTTCCTATTGATTCCTAGGAGCTTCCTATGTATGAGGAAAATGAGTCCTTTCTGATACCAATTTCAAATCATTTCCCACCAGTTCATCCCCTCTTGGACTTTACTGGTGGAGCTTTCTGCCAAGCAGAACAAAGAAGACAGTCTTACTGCCCTGCACTGGAGACTAAAAGACCCCTCTAGCCCCTTCTATTTGTGACATTCTGGGGCCACAGGTACATTCCATGCAGGGGGTCAAGAGGCCACGCAGGCCACTAGGACCTGGGAGTCGGGAGGGGGCAGAAACAGCTCCAGGGAGCAGTCTGGCCTTCAAAGCTGCCCTGACGGGGTGGTGCTTTTCCCGAACTTTCCACGTAGCAGCATCGCACTGGTCAAAGTGTGGATTTCAGGAGCCCACTGTGCCGGGCCCAGATGCCCGCCCCTCTCGACTTCTGAGCTTGTTGGGGCAGAGTAAGCGCTCCCATGCGTGTTCCCTGAGTGGATTTGGAGGACCGCGACACCCCATCCGCTGTGTTCAGAAGTAACTATGATCTGGCAGCAAATCTCAGACTGCTTTTAAAGAAAAATTTGACTCTTCCACACACACCCCCCAAAGGAAATTAAGTCTCCAGCAACCACCAGAAGAGACTTAAAGGGGTCCCGGGGCTGCTGACGCCTGTCGCTTCCAGGGTCCCAAGACCGGACACGCGTCCGAGTAAGGGACAGCAGAACCAGCCCCGCTTCTCCCAGGCCGGTCCGGATCCACAGCTCGCCGCTCTCCCGTCTACACCGCCCGCTTTCCGACAACCCGATCCACATCACCCGCTCCCGGTTCCACATCACCCACTCCCGGTCTACACTGCCCGCTCCCTGCCGCTCTCTGTCCACGTCGCCCTTGCCCTCCGCACTCCCAACCACGCCTCGCCGCTCTCCTGTCCGTGCCGCCAGCTCCGGGGTCCGCAGCACCCGCTCTCCCACTCCCCCTTTCGCGCGGCCCGCTTTCCCACTCCTTGTCCACACCGCCTGCGACCTGCTTGCTGCAGGTCCACGCCGCCCGCTCCCGGGTCCACACCACCTGCTCTCCCACTCCCCGGTCCGCGAGGCCTTTCTCACTCCCCGTCCACACTGCCTGCGACCTGCTTGCTGCTGTGGATCCACGCCGCCCGCGCCTCGCCGCTGCCCGTGCACGCCGCCCGCTCCCGGGTCCACACCACCCGCTGTCCCACTCCCTAGTTCGCGCGGTCCGCTTTCCCACTACCCGTCCACACCGCCCGCGACCTGCTCGCTGCTGTTGGTCCACGCCGTCCGCGCCCCGCCGCTCCCAGTCCGCGCCGCCCGAGCCGGCGCCTCTCCCCCGCGGACTACAACTCCCACAATGCCCCGCCACCGCCCCCCGGCTTCCGGTGCTGCGCAGTTTCCGGAGCGGATCGCAACCCGGAGTCCGGATCCGAGCCCGCTCTGCACATTCCACAGGCAGGTAAAGCCCGGGGCCCCGCGCCCGCC